GTGTGAAAATTGCTACTGAAAGAAGAACAGCGGTGAGCAGTGACCTGTACTGTAACAACCAAAAAAGACAATAAAACCCTGCGTGGTGCTCATGTTCCTGTTTTTCTGTGTGGCACGTTTACCACCTTCCTTTGCAAATGGAGAAAATATTGTGTAGTCCAGTTTTTGATTTCTCAAACTTTTAAATTACTGGTCAAGGGGTGGATTTTTTTAAATTGTAGTTATTAAATGTTCCGTGGGTACATAAAAGCAGGTTTCTTTTTTGTGTCATGAGACTGTAACTGTCAAAGCATCAAAATGAAAAGTATAATATAAAACAATACTTTTAAACTGTAAGGAAGTAAAACCATGGAGCGATATAAATGAAAAATGGAAGCCATGAAATATTGTGCTATCTACTCTCCAACACTTCTGCAGGATGCCTTGTTGTGATGTATGTACTTTACAGTACTCAAAAACTCAAACCTTTACCTATATTTTACGTCCCTGAGCAACTAAAATGCAGGATGAGTTTGTATCGGCACCGAAGCTTCAGCTATGCTGCAGCACCTTCTGTGCCCAGGGACCCAAGGCCAAAGCTCCTCCTCCTTTCCTCTCCGCTGAAGAGATCTCACTCTCACTTTGTTCACTCTCTCACACAACACTCCTCTTAGTTCTTGCATTAACTGTCCATACCTACAATCTTTTTTTTTTTGTAGGTTTTACATTGCTGTTCCCTGTAGATTTCTTAGTCACTCTTGCACAAGTCTTCTGTAAAAAGAACCCATAATTCTCACAGTTCTTAGGCTCTCATAAATTTCCAGTAAGAGATCTTACTGTTCTGCTATGACTCCACACATCCCATCAGCTCAAAGAGGAAAATGGGAATCTGGAAGTCATTACCAAATGATTGCATCTAAGTAATGAAAATGCATTTGTGAGAAAAGAGAGTGAAAGCAAAATGGGGATTGTTCTTGTAATCACTCGATTATTAACCTAAATGTAGGGAAGTGTGAGTCAAAGTAAATTTAGGGAAACACTGCTATTACTTTCTCTTTCCCCCTCTTTTTTCTTTCATTCTTTGAAAGGATGTCATGTTTATTTGAAGTTCAGTACTCAACGCCAAACTTGTATTTGAGACCTGCAATTTGGGGACGTTTTGCCTGCGTTCGAGTCCAACGGTTCAAATACACATCTGGGAATAAGTCTTAACCCGCTGAGTTGACCGAGGCCGGGTTACATCACTGCGACAAGCAACGCTGCGTAAAGCTGGCAGCGCTCGGCGCTCGATAAACATGAGCAACCAACAGGCGATTAATGGGGCCGTCACAGCCTGCCATCCTTCAACGGTCCTGCAGGCAACAAAAGAAGTAAACAAGATTCCCTCTGTTCATCCTTCCGCTTAGGATGTTGGCTGAGCACACAAACAAAGGCCAGAACCATCTGATTTTGCTCTTATTGTTTCAATACAATTTAAAAGTTGCCCGGATCCACTTATGATCCCAAGCATAATATCATGCAGGAAACATTCTGTTGTGCAGGATTTACAAATTGTGTGTCAACAAATCCCACCCACACAGGTCACACGTAAACCTTTGGGAGGAGAACAAGTCAAACACTGGCTATCTCACTTTGATGCAATGTCTGCTCTAAGCCAAGGTATGTGAGCCATTCTTGCTTGAAAACTGGCTATTAAAATGCTTTGAAAGCAAACTTGTGGTGTCACGTAATGAAACCAACTCTGTTTTTTGTCTTGTCATGTCGGATTCTTTGCAGCTGCTGGCCTTTCAAGCGATGACTGCATAAGCCATGCTCGTTGTAGTATCAGTCCCTGTTTGCTCAGAGATACAGGGTGACCAGCAGGCAGCATTAGCATGTCACTGCACAGTTCGAATTTCCCTCAAAGCCCAAAAGTCAAAACTGGAAGTCTTGTGACATTATAATACAGTGATTAATGGTGTTCACACATGTCTTTGAGTGTTTTCCACAGTCTTCTTGCTCTCCTGTTGACTTCTGAATTGCTTCACAAAACCTTCATAGAGCTTTGTTTTGTTGCCCAACTCCCTGTTGGGCAACTCAAACGTTGTAAATTACTACATGTTAAAATTCATCTCAGTGTGAGAAAAAGCTTTTTTCTTTTCCTTTAAGGATGAGATCTGAAGCGAGGACATTTTTAGAAACCCAAAAGTTTATCATTTTTAAGAGTTAGGATCTATTTCTGTACAGGACCTGCATTTTCCATAGCTTTTCTGTTGCCCAGATGTTTGATTGGTGGGTTGCTGTGTTGTGGCCCTATACGTCGCCAATGGTGTAAACCGTAAAGCTTTTCATCAGGTCAAGTAGGAAGACACGTTTTGTCTGAAGTGTAAGGAAAGAAAATAAAGCAGAGCTCACAAATGTTTATACGGGCAAAAAACAAATGAAGTCAGTGACAGTCACTGAACCGTGTTTGGCAAAGAAAGACTGGAAACTGCTATTGTGTGAACTCTTGAAGAAAACAAATGCAACTGCACATTTACGCTGTGCCGCTGAATTGCTTTGAGCAGCGATATTAGTGCTTTTGGCTAAATACTAACAGCCTCCCAGTCACACCACTTATATCCTGATCTTAAACTACAGCCTCTTCCTGAAGTGCAGTCAGCAGACAGTGTAGTCAGACAGTGCAGTCAGACAGTATAATTGTGTACACCTGCATATTTATGACTGGATCATGCTTGCCACTCAGTTGTGACTGAGCCAGATAAAGCTAATTAGCCTATAAAAGCGCAACTTCCGAGCTCTGCCTGAACTCGCTTCATTTTAAGGTAAATGTGGTTTTCCAGCTTGTTTCACTAAGAAGGGTGTGTGCTATCTGTCCTGCACTAAATCTGTTTGATTCTATATTTAAGTATAAAGTTTCATTCAAGAGTCTGCAGCTGAAATGCAGCTCTAGATCAGGCATACCTTACTGGAAATGTGAGCAGCCCCAACTACTAATAGAAATCTTTGAAGTGCACATTAAATGCATAATAATGATAGTAGCATCTCACCCCCCACCCCCACCCCCCCATCTCTCAGATATTGAAAGACACACTATACATTATAGTGCAACTGTCATGCAAACAGAGCCCTCATTGCATTTGGGAGATTATGCAAGCTTATTTTACAATGCCAGTCATTCCAGCCAAATGTGTTTCATTGGGATTACTCAGCTTTTTGGCGCGATTGTGCTAAAGGGGATATTTAAAGTAAATCTTATGAAGAAAAAAGGGCGCAATCTACCTTCAGCATTCCTAAAACTGTTGTATTTTACAGAAATTTTGAGATTTTGAGATTTGACAGAAAATTTGAGCATGTTACATGTGTCACTTTCTCCAGTTCTCAGTACTTTAAACATTTTGGGTGCCAGATTTCCTTTTAAGACTATGATCCTGAGTCACTCTGAACTCTTTCTTTCTTTCTTTCTTTTTTTTTTTTAAAACCTCCATGGTGAAGTCACAGCTTGGAGAAGAGAACTGGAAACTATTGTTGTTTATCAGCCTAACTGACATCCATCACCTTCATTTCTTCTTTCCTTCCAGATCTTAGGTGTTTATAGCCTTAATAGACGAATCTGCATTAATGTTTGATCTCTGTTGTTTACTAAGTAAGCACTGGATGTTAATGTGGTCCAACTGACCCAGAAAATGATGCAAAAATGTTGAAAAAAGAACCACTGATGAAAAACCTCTCACCCTTCTTTTTCTTCGTTTCTTTCTTCATGCCAATTTCGTCCAAACAAATATGGCATGGATACGGACACGCTACCTATTCTTCTCTTCTCCCTTGTGAATACAGAATTTTGCAATTTAATTTCCGCTGTTTAAATCTGCCCTGCAGTAGCTCTGTACTTATTAAAGAGATGCCTAGAATGCCAGTAAACTTTTTTTGTGCCATTTCCCACCACCCTAGTAAAACCTCATTACTTTTTAAGCCTACTACCAATAAAAGAGGGAATCCAGGTTTTAGAAATTAAAGGTGGTATCACTTAGAAAAGTAAATGGAATAAAATGTTTAGCAATTTAGATACAGCTTCAGTATAACTAACTATATAGTTCTTCACAGAAGCCACTAAAACATTTTTTGAACCACAATTAATAAGTCTGTGGTGTATTTTCTACTCCTAAGAGGTTTCTTCTGGTCACTTCATCCACCATCCTTACCATACTCTTGAGTGTCTGACTCGGAGCTGCAGTTTCTAATATCTTTCAGGTCAAGTGAATCCATGTTGTTGAAAGGCAGTGATTCCATGTGGTATGAAACTTTGTGTTCTTCAGCCCTGAACGGAATGCGCGTCTCCAACTCCAAAACCAAATGCCCCAGTTGTGTCTTTTTGGTACACAAAGGTCTACCCACAAGACCCCTCCAAAGCCTCCAGGAATGAGCCGTTGTATCAGCGTTTCTCTCCCGGACACAGAGGGGGAAGCTTTGGCAATACCAGATAATTTCCAGACGCAAGCCATTGCTCGCCAGCTAAAATTGAAGCTTCCAGGGAATCTGTTGTATTAAAGGGTCATTTTTATTTTCTTTTTGTCTCACATTGCAGACATAGCTGGGATTCACAATTTGAATTATTGACATTTGGCAAGCGTTGAGGTTTTCACACTTGAAAGGCAGAAATGAGGCATACCTTTAAGTTTATGAGTGTGGATGAAAAGGTGTTTTAAAATCTACCACAGATCAGTATTATTGAGGAAAGTGCGCAACGGCTTTCCACCTCACGACTGAATTCCAATTCTGCTCTCCTTAACTGCACATCAATACACTTATCAAGTCCACCTGCTGTTAGTGCATCCATTTAATGAAGCTTTGGTGTCTCGTCCCTCTAGAGGAAAACAGCCCACATCCCTGCGTGTGTTACCCTGAGAAAGCCCGCACCGGACACGGTGGGAAGGTGGGTTTGTTAGGAAGGGAGGGGCTCGCGGGTATCTCGGCGAAAAACGGGAGGGGAGGGGTCACGAATCCCCCTAGCAGCCTCCGCGTGTGATCGCGGCTAAGAAAATTACGCAATCGGAAGATAATTATGTAACTGTGTCTCTTAAACAGCCGACCTCAAACTTGCTCAGACCCGAAACACTTGATTGACAGACTTTGTGCGAGCTTCTATATAAGAGGAGGGAGGAGGGCGCCTCGGTCACTGTTGTGCCTCAGGTCCTCCAGACTGTGGATGTAGTGAACCAAAGTGGACTGTACACTTTTGTTTTGTTTTTTTTTGTTTTTTTTTCTTTACGGGCTTTTACAGGAGATACCACTGCTCATTCATTTTTACCCTCTTTTTGTTTTTACTCTTGTCGCTGGATCTCTGACGGATTTCTTTTTTTAAGATACTGAATTCGTCAGGTAAGTAAGTAGGTTAGGAATGCATACACTGCTTATCATTGAAATGTTATGTGAGGAGAAATCAGTACAGGGCAAATTTACCAGGGCTGCTGTAAGTGATTCATTACCTGCAGAGTGAAAACAGATAAATAAATGTGGAAAAACTTGCTGGACTGCTGAAAGACTCTTTCCTACATAACAGGGTATAAAACCTAATGTGCAATGTTGCAAAGTTTAATCAGCTGTAAACTGTGTAACAACTCGTTGGCCGGAGTTATTGTTTTTATCATTTTATTCCTGTATTTGCATGTGGCTTTTTCTCTTCTTTTTTCCAGTCATTCTGTGACTGAGAGACTTGAGTGCAGCATTTGAGATGGACCAAGGATGGGAAAAAAGACAAAAGAGGCACAAATCTAACAAAAACTATGTCTTTGTTTTTGAAGCAGATATGATACTCAGGAGAAGTCTCTTCTTGTTGCTGTTGTCATTTAATTACCTTCAAGCTTTAACTGAAGGTGAGTTGTAAATGGATTGATTGTGGTATTGCTGTCTAATAATAATTATTATTATTCCATTTGAGTCACCAATTCCAGTGTTTTGTTTTTTGTTTTAGCGAAAACTCTGCCAGTTGCTCCCATTCTGCTTTTAAGTTCATGAACTCTTCTTCTAGCTTTCCAGTTACATTTCCTCTTGTCTGATGTATAGATGGTGAGCAGGAGGATGAGACATCATTCGACTTGTTTGAAATCAGCGACATCACACGCAGGACACTGGGGGCCAAACAGTTCAGGGGCCAGAACTTAGATGCCCCTGCCTACCGCTTCATCCGCTTTGACCACCTGCCCCCAGTTAGCCCACCCATACTGAAGCAAATGCTGCGTCAGATCCAAAACAATGAGGGCTTTGTATTTGTGGCCAGCATACGCCAGGACCGTTCCTCACGAGGCACCCTGATTGGTTTGGAGGGTCCCGATGGCCGGCGCCAGTTTGAGATCGTGTCCAACGGACGCGCCAACACTCTGGACCTGGTCTACTGGGCAGACGGCTCGCAGAACGTGGTTTCATTCGAGGACGTGGACCTGTCCGACTCGCAGTGGAAGAACATCACCCTTCACGTTCATGGGGAGAACGCCAACCTGTTTGTCGGCTGCAGCCTCATAGACAGCTTCATCCTGGATGAGCCATTTTACGAGCACCTAAAGGCCGAAGGGAGCCGCATGTATGTGGCAAAGGGATCCATTCGAGAGAACCACTTTAGGGTAAGACAGCGGATGTGGATTCGAACGATTTCCCAGGATCTAGGAACTCCTTACTTGTCCAGCATTTGTCAACTCTCGCAGTGTCCAAGAAACAAAATTGTGGTCTTCACTAACCCTGCAATAAAAGTTTAAACAACTGTTTCCAAAAATACAGACTGACATATTCCCTGTGTTGCCCTGGTTTCTCTGTGTGGAAAGGACTCTAAATTTAGACTCTAAATTTGCCCCTTGTGTGTAGAAATGAGGGGGGACGTATGTTATTAGGTAAAAAGAGAGTTTCCATGAAATGTTTGCTCCAATTCCCAGCTCATGCTTGCACTAGGTATAGAAAATGTCCTGCCTGAAATATGTCAAAGTGATTGAGACACATATTTTCTCACCAAACAGGGCCTTCTTCAGAGTGTGCGCTTCATCTTTGACACCTCAATAGAAGACATCCTGCTGAGTAGAGACTGTGAGATTACCAAGCAAGGTAAGAATGTGTCTGTTTTAGTTTTTAAGGTCTATGAAGGCCCTGCTATCCAGGATGAATGGCAAACCCTTTCTCTTTTGTGTGATTTTTTTTTTTCATAACCCAACAGATGAGTCAAAATAATTATATTTGCAAAGTGTTTGATGCCTGATACCTAGCAGATGTGATCTAAAAGCTCTTTCACATGCAACTCTCCTGCACCCAGTATCTGTGTTTTGTTAAGCTTGGACCACGGCAAACAATTTAGCATTCTCTGTCAACTCCATTTGCATGAATTTATCTCCTTTTTAATGGATCAAAAAGCTTACAGATCCGAAATGTGGCAAGATATCCCAGTATTACTTCATGTTTACAGCAACAGGCTTTTCACTGCAGTGGCTTGAGGTTGAGCAGCGTGCAGGGTGAACAAAAGGAGATACAGATGCTTACATTTGTTTCCACTGGCAGTGGATTTGGGATAATACCCTGGGAAAGAAAATAGAAAAGACAAAGTGAATGTTATACTGCAAAGTGCGGAGCTTCCACCTCCAGCTGCACACACACAGACGTACACACAAACATACAGGATGAAGTCACGAATTGGCTGATTGGGTTGCTTTTCTCAGCTGAAGGACCTCGCAATCCTCAGCGGGGCTCACACAAAAGACTGGCTTCAGCTCAAAAGATAGAGATCCTGAAGAACCACCAGATTTGGAAATTGAGCCTTTTGGTTTTGCTGTGACAGAGAAAATCACCATGCGGTATGCAGTTGATGCTTTTCTGTCACCACATGCACTGTTGAATTCCAGCTGAATGAGTTTATTTGTTTAACAAATGTCACCAGCGCCTGGAAGTTTTCCGCTGGTTGGCTGGTACCAGAGAGGGTTCGGCACCATTAGGAAAATTCATGCCGAAAGTCACCCATAAATCCAGGCAACCCTATAACTTGGACAGTATTAAAATTGCCCCAGTTTTTGCTCTTTGTTATTTCCTCTTTCTACTCTAACAAAATCGAGAGCGTCCATCGGGGAGAGAAGAATGTGTAACTGCTTTCACAGACGAGCTTTCACGCATTCTCACGCGCACACAGTTTGAAGCCCTCCTGAGATTTGAATGAATCCAGCAGACTGAAGAGGAAAGAAAACATTGCGTTGGCTACAGTAGGACACCACCGAGTAATTTGGATGACTTCTTGATTTAGAGTCCCCGCTCTGCTATTAATCTTCGCCAATTTACATAGCGTGATCCAAACCAGTTGCAGATACGCGTTGTGCCTTGGCTGAAGGACAGGCGTTCTGCGGAGCTTCCATTTGTCTCTCGTGTGTTTGTTTTGGGCATCGAATATTCGTATAGCTAGCTGTGATGTGATTAAAGTTCAGTAGGATTTTCTGACTACCGAGATCAGTCAGATGTAGACTGCAAAAGAACTTCACATTTAGCCTCATTATGTTCTTCTAATAGCACTGCAGTTTAAAGTTAAGTCCCTTTCTCAATATCTCAACATACACTTGGTTTTATTACAAAGCCCTCAGCCTTAATAATGACTGATAAATGCTGCAGCCCACATACTTCTTCACATAATTCTTTTGTGCTGATATCAAGACAAGAGTATAACAAGTATAAATCTGTGTGGCCACCCCCAGTCTCTTAAGTACATATCACAAGTGGTCACATATTTGAAAGGTTAGCGAGGTTTATGGTCCACAATATGGTTTTTGCATCACACGGGGAACTCCAGAGATTTCTGCTCTGCAGTGCCATCCTGTCCTGTTCTCCCACAGCCAGCTCTGCCGTCATCTCGGGCTGACAGATTTACCATCACCATTTCAAACAGACACACTTTATTTTTTTTGTTTTCCAAATTGAATGACACCGACTGGACATCTGGTTTTAAGAACATAATAAACATTTCAATTACGCCATTGTTGTGATCTTTTGGACAGCTACAGAAAAACAGGAAATTGTTTGAGTCCTTGCGTTTCAACCGTCATATCTCTCAAACATGTTTTCCATCAACAGCCTGCGTTATTTTTCCTCCATTTGCCCTGGTATCTGTTATTTGCTCTTCCAGATGATGCCAATATTGTGATTGAGAGCGCGGAAATTGTGGACGTGAGTCCTTCCATCACTACAAACGTTATAGGTCAGAAGACGGATGATGTGGGCGCAGAAATGTGTGAACGCTCCTGCGAGGAGCTCAGCACCATGTTCCAGGAGCTCAATGGCCTGCGCATTGTCGTCAGCAACCTTATTGACGGATTGCAAAAAGTGGTGAGTTAAATCACATAAATCAACCCTAGCAAACACTTGCATTTGTCTTAGAGAGGGTTACTGTCTGTTTTGTTGAACTTTACAGGCCAGTAAATGTAAAATTGGTGGCTCTGGTGTGATGGAAGAAATATTTAACTCTTTAAAAAAAACCAACATTTTAGGAAAATAGATGACTCAGCCCTCCGCGTGTTAGCCTGAAGGTAAAGAGGCCTGAATTAGGTTACTAGGTAACCCACATTGGTTTTAAAGTAAACAGTGAGTAGCCACAGGAGTGTTTATAGAGTCGCCTGTGACAGCTGAACCCATATGACTCCTGCTATCTGTGGCAGCGTGAGTCAGACAGATTTTATGACATGTTACATGTGGATATAGGAAGTGTTCCCCTGGCAGTGATGGGGTCCAGTCTAATGTCTGGCTTTGTTTAAACAGCTCATGTGTTTCCTCTGGGAGCCTCCCAGCAATAAGAGAGTCTGGGCATAAACCTTGAGGGGGAAAAAAGAAACGGCTGGTATGAGAAGGGTCCCTGAGGCTCTTCCAGACCAAGTGGTGTCTTAGATTCTAGTGCTGCACACTGCTTACTCCCCTTTTCCAAGAGGAGGATGAACACACACATACGCACTCATATCCCCCCGAAAATCTTTGGCAGTACTTTATCCACCGATAGTTCCCAAGTGTTGAGGAGCTCAGCCTGGTCTCCAATTGGATAGGAGGTAATGTGCGTAACTAAGCAGCACTTTTCAGTAAGCTGTTTTCAAAGAAGTAGTGAGCATGTAAAGAAGTTCAGAGTTTTCTAATCTGCAGCAACAAGGGAAAAACTGAGTAGATTCTTTAAGTGGGTGTAACTTTCTAGTCTTTTTCTGTTGTTTCTCATCCATTTAAGTTGTCAGATTTTTTTTTTCAATGACTAGATGAAGTAAAGTAAAGCATCTAAGCATGAGCTGAGCTGGACGGGGAAATAGCTTGGTACAAAGGAATCCAAGAAAAGTTACAAGGTTGCTACAGTTGGTACTGATTTTGTTTTTATTAGCGTAGTGTTGTTTTATCTCAAAAAGAAATGGTTCTGATCAAGCTTGATTTTAAACAAATGTCATCTTTTTTTTATTAGAATAACATTTGCAAAAGCAACACACGCGTTTCCTCTTCCCACCTGGTGAAACTAACCTCAAACACGCTATTTTCAATGAATCAGCTCATCAGCAGGACTATCTTTCCCCCAGTCAGTGGCTTTGTACCTTTGATCTTGAGTGTGTCTTAAAGATTTCTGACTGTTCTTTCCTCACTTGTTGTATGTTCAGACAGAAGAAAACTCAGTCATGAAAGAGGCCCTTGGGAGGATGAAGAACTCCTCAGAGAAAAACATGTGCTGGCAGGATGGCCGCCTGTTTGACGATAAGGAAGACTGGGTTGTAGACAGCTGCACCAAATGCACCTGTCAGGTAGTGCCAAGTCATCTGGAAATATATGCAGATTTACTGTGGATGTTAAAGAGCCTCACATATCATTAATGTTCATTTGTGGCAGGAATCCAAGATTGTGTGCCACCAAATCACCTGTCCTCCGGTGGCCTGTGCCAGCCCGTCCTTTATCGATGGCGAGTGTTGCCCCGCGTGTTTGCGTAAGTAGACAGGACCTTTCACAACATAAACACGCAATTTTATACACGCTATTCTAAATTAATGGTGCAATGTGCTATAACCACAGCATTTCATGCATATTAAAGTTTAATGCTACAGGACTATTGCAGCCAGTATGTCTTTGGACGTGAACCACATATTTATTAGCAGGCACTCAAAATGTCCAGTGTGGGTTCTTTAGATGATGTCATGTGATAAACGAGTTGATATAAAGATTAAAAACTGCAGTTGTTAACTTTTCACAGTTCTGTTCAGTGAGCATATGTGTGAGTGTGCAAAAAGATGGAGCATAAAAGTGTTGGATTTACATGTTCCAGCTATGGACAGTGACGATGGATGGTCCCCGTGGTCAGAGTGGACAGAGTGCACAGTGACCTGTGGGATAGGAACTCAACAGAGGGGCCGCTCTTGCGACGCAACCAGCAATCCTTGCACGGGACCTTCTATCCAGACCCGCAAGTGTAGTCTGGGCAAATGCGACAGCCGTGGTGAGGATTTGTTCTTTCTTCTTTTTTCAATGCTTTGTCTTGACTCACTCAGTTTTTATTTGAACTGTGGCATCCAGTAGTAACTGTTGCACCGATATTATCTCAACCACAGTATGCACCACTGGCAGTAATCTAAAACAAATAGCGTTATGATAAGTGAGAGGAGTGGGGGGAGGAGATGATGAAACTGTGGAAAAACCGAGCAGTGAGTTAAATATGAGATGAGAGCCTCAGAATTGCAAAAGTTTTCTCCTTCATAAATCTGGATCCGTCTTTGAGTGGATGAATCTAAGTGAAGAGCTGGATCTCACGGTTGGGCTGCAGGGTGTGCCCAGTCACAGTTAACTCCAAATAAATCACTGGCTAAAAGGGTGTTCCACAGTGCAGTGACTCACTGCAGCTTTCCATGCAATATTATAAAATATTAATGAATCTGATAATTAATGTCTTATTAAGTGAGGTGTGGTGATTTTGGTAGATTTGTGCTGGAAACAAAAACTGCTGAACGGGTTTTTTTGTGTTGTGTGTTTTTTTTTTTTTTGAGAAGTTATAGAATCAGCATGTGTCATTGCTTGAAGCTAGCAGTACACTCCATCTGTGTGAGTGACTGAATCAGCCTAACCACTAGAAGATAGTTTACCCACAATGACAAAAATACTGGCTCAAGTGTCTTAGAACATCTTTGAAAGTGAGCCGTCATCGCCAGCATCGCATAATGTTGTAGAAAATATGGTGCTCTTTTCTCTCTTTTTTTCCTAACTCTGGCAAATTATACATGTCTGTAAGTACTATAATGGAAATCTGGAGGATAACGCAACACATATGTGTTTGACTGCTGCGTGACATGTCTGATTGTTGATGCCCAGTTCGCCAGGACGGAGGGTGGAGTTTGTGGTCCCCGTGGTCGTCGTGCTCGGTGACCTGTGGTGAGGGGCAGATCACGAGAATACGACACTGCAATGCTCCTGTGCCACAGCTGGGAGGCAGAGACTGTGAGGGCAGTGGAAGAGAGACCCAGAGCTGCACTGCCAAGCCATGTCCCAGTGAGTATTTCATCTTGTGAAGGGAAACACCCAAAAGCAGCATCTCCGTTACAGTGGCCAGCATCTGTGCCCAGCAGCCGGACTTCCCTCGTGCCTCGTGGTTCCCCTAAGGCAACATTCCCCATGTGTTTCGGACTGTCATCATGTCAGTCTTGGTGCAAACGTTGGTCCAGATCGGTTCAGTATGTTCGCTCATGCAGTATTAAGTTCCAGGCTTCTGAACTTTTTATTTCTTGTTTAGAAACAACAGAATAAAAATGTGGCATGAATAAAACACTTTATGTCAAAGTGACTTGCTGCTAAGCATCTGTCTCCCCTGTTTTTCTAGTTGATGGTGGCTGGGGACCATGGTCTCCATGGGCAACCTGTTCAGCGACCTGCGGAGGGGGGCACAAAAGTCGTTCCCGTGAGTGCAACAGCCCTGAACCTCAATACGGCGGCAAGAAATGTTTTGGAGAAGCGGTCGACAGAGACAGCTGTAACAAGAATGACTGCCCTATTGGTGAGCATTAGTCACTCTGCATTATGGTTTTAGCTACTTAGGTGACTGGGTTCACAGATCCACAGGCCCACACTGAAACATTTTTATGTAGCATAGGGATTGCACTGACATATGTTCTGGCATTTGTAGTGATTTTAGGATTTCTCCTGTAATGCAGCTGAGGTACTTGGAATGTCCTAATGTGTACTGTGCAAGTTGCTGTCAGCTGTTGACTGTAATGATCAGCTTGATTGTTTTAGTCTTTATGATGGAAAAAACATCCAAACATCTGTTTTGCACAGCCATTTTGCTGTGCTGCCATATGTGTGTCTTTATAAACAGATTAAATTTTTTTTCTGAGCTTGTTTAACGATGTGACTTCACCTGTAAACAATGACTGGCAGATGGAAGAGGAAATCTAGGTTCTGCCAGCTACACTGGAAAAAAAAAAAAGATTACCTTACTAGTAATAATTCTGTGTTAACAATAACCAGCACCATACTGATTACCTCGACTGCATTAAAGTGAAAAATCTGGCAAAAGAAAATTCAAAAACCTTACCCTTATTTTAATATAAAAGGAAAGTTTTTGTGAGTTGGTTTCAAAACCTGCATAAAACCAGAATATAGTTTCCAGTTCAGAAAAATTAAGCCAATGTGGAAGCGCTTTGAACCTCCATTCTACCTAAAAGCCACCAGATGGCAGTAGCTGTGGTTGCAAAAGAAACTTCTGGTCCAATAGACGTATATGGGAAAATGGCTGTCTGATTGACCTCAGTGAAAACTTTCCTGATGAGTTTATGGTCTCACTTTGGGTCATATTAAAAAAAATTGACTCTTATTTTGTAAATCGTGATATTATTATAGTTCAAATATGATGATTAACCATAGATGATTAGTTAATGACTTATTATTATATTATAGTTAGACACGCCCATGCCTTCAGAAACCAATGGATGATGTCACGGTTGCTACTTCCAATTTTTATACTGTCTGTGTTGCTACTGTAGATTTTGGAAAGGTGATTAAGCATTAACTTAAGATAAGCATTACAAATTAAAAGTAAAAATTAAAAGTTTTCCCTTGTATGTATCCATTCTCATCATCTAAACCTCTTGCAGATGGCTGTCTGTCCAACCCATGCTTTGCGGGAGTGGACTGCAGCAGCTCTGCCGATGGCTCGTGGGAGTGTGGCCCGTGCCCTGCTGGATTTCGTGGAAATGGTACCCACTGTGAAGACATTAATGAGGTAAAAGTTACTATTTTTCATAACCTAGCTGCACTTTATCCATAAAAAGACCTGCTTGAATTTTGCTGATGATTTTTTTTTCTCTCCTCTAGTGTGACATGGTGTCTGATGTTTGCTACAAAGTGAATGGAATGCAGCGTTGTGTCAACACTGATCCAGGTTTCCATTGCTTGCCCTGTCCAAAGCGCTACAAGGGCACCCAGCCTTTTGGTATGGGTGTGGAGGCTGCCAAGAAGAACAAACAAGTGAGTTGATGTTAGCTTTTTTTTTCAGTGCTCTTAATAGACCACTGGTATGAAACCACTCAAACAACAATAAAGCATATAATGTGGATTTAGCTCCAGGGAGATTTGGATAAGCACATGTGTGGATTTCTGGATGTCACATTTATAAATGACTGAAGCAGCACTTCAGGGGATTTAAAAGAGAGAGTTTGTGTATATAGGAATGAATGAATGGGGTTGACCTTGACCCACTATTTGTAAGTAAAATGACAGCGTGAGTAGCTTTAAACTTTTAAAATGAGAGGTGTATATGAATGGTTCTTTTTCCTTCCTTGCACTGTATCAGTTCATTGTCATAAAGCTATGTTTTTCTTTTGTCTCTGTGGCCCACATATGTCTCTTTCCAACCCTGTCAAAACTACTACAAGTTTTAATATGACTTGTCAAATATGCCACATTAACTACATGATTGGAACACAACGGTTTTCATCTCTTTTCTGATCAATGAGTCCCTGGAAAACTGAAAAACGTGTCACTTTGACCACTACTTGCATAACATTCCTCATTGGGCATTTTGTCACTTCTTGGCCTCTGCAGCTGCCTGTCTTTGATTTGATGCCCCAATTGACAGTAATTGATTTGGGAAAAGGGGAATTGTCTCATTGCTGGCATTAAGAGGCTCCATTTCACAGTTCTGATCAAAGGCCTCCCTGTCTCTTTTGGCTCTATGAGCTCATGCAGTGGCATTCAAACTTTAGGTTCATCATCTGGTAATAAGTGGCAGCTGTGAATAGTTTGTGAAGAAAAAATGGAGAGCAGTAGGTTGTTTTGGAATATATGCTCTACCCATGTCATAAAATCACAAGTGCTCCACACTTTTTTTGAAAAATAAATTTCTTTAAGCAGTCACCTCAGTTTGAGGTGTCCCTGTTTGGAGGGCTAGTCCCTAAAACAAGCTGCCTGGACTAGTGGTAAAATAAATACTCTTCACATTTAAAAAACAGCAAAATGGAAAATATGTTAGAAAACTGTGTCTTGTAAGAAATTCCATCTAACCTCTCTGTTTTTCTTAATCTAGGTATGTGAGCCTGAGAACCCATGTAAGGACAGGACGCACAACTGTCACAAATATGCCGAATGCATCTACATCAGCCACTTCAGTGATCCAATGTACAAGTGTGAGTGTAGGACGGGTTACGCTGGAGATGGCTTCATTTGTGGTGAAGACTCTGATTTGGATGGCTGGCCCAATCAGAACCTTGTGTGTGGTGCTAATGCCACTTACCATTGCAAGAAGGTATTTCACTGAATATTGCCACATTCAATCCAGTGATGCCAAACTGAACTGCAAAAGTCAACCATTTACTGCCACTATTTCAGGATAACTGCCCTAGCCTCCCCAACTCTGGACAAGAAGACTTTGACAGAGACGGTCAAGGAGATGCTTGTGACAAGGATGATGATAATGATGGAATTCTGGATGAAACGGTATGAGAACTTTTCACTTTTACAAACTGGTGAGCGGCATCCTAAAAAAGTGGAGAGACTTTAAAAAATCAATAATTGGATATGATTTGTCTAAAAAAAACCCCCCAATTTTCTTTCGACATGGTAAACCCAATCCATCCATCCATCCACGGAGAGCATGATTGGGGGAGATGTCGTACCACTCGAGTGGTATCCTATTATTGAACTTTTGTGCAGCCCACAACGGACATCATGTTCAAACATAAGGATGAACACAATTCAGTAATAAGCATATAACTTACAGGACAGACTGGAGATTTGATGCTTAATAGCAAAGTAAACCGTAGTGAAATTATTGGACTAATTAAACTGGACATAAGTGAAGAGCCTATAATGTTATTTTTTTTCATCAGTGCATTAAAAAGGAAAAGTCTAGAGGTTTTATACCACTATTTTTAAAGCAAAAAATTTCTTCAAAGCAAATCTTTAAGGCATACTTTTAGAGGCTAGAACAATATAAAGTCAGTCGTCTATTCTAAACATTAAAAAATGTAATATTTAAAAATAATAAACTTTGAAATACTATAAGTGCAACAGTCAGAATACCCAATAACCTTAATTACATTAACTTGGGCAATACTAAATAACTCTAGGTTACATACAATATTGAGTTGAACTCAAATACTAATTAGAGTATTGCTTCCTCTCCAAATAAAAATGAGACTCAATATGAATCAGATTTATAGTGAGTTTGTCTGGTTGGCCTTGACATAAGGCAACACGTCTCATTAAAGTCTGAAAATAAAAATACGGCCATGTTCTACCTAATAAATGTGCAGTTTGCTAGTTAATTGATGTGTTACGCCATTTCCATTGCGCAAACAACATATACAGCCTTTGTAGAAATCCATAAACATTATATGAAACATATTTGAAAACATAAAGAAAAGCTACAAACCACCAAATCCTATAGCAAGGGGACTTTTGCTAGCATAGTTTGCTAGTAGCATAGTTAACTGGCTTTGAGACCAGGAGGAGACACACACCCAGTTTGAGCAGCTTGTCTGCTCCTTTTGCTGGTCACAAGGCTGGATAAATGTGGGGTTTGTGTCATGAAGGACATTTGGTGTAAAACACTGTGCCAAAGTATGTAGAACCATCTGCTGTGGAAGTAAGGAGCACCTGAAAGTTCAGCCACTTTGCTAACATAAGGGTTTGTTACTGCAACCTTTTGAGTGGTCAGCATTATCCCATGATGAAATATTTTCTATAAGCCAAAAAGGGTTACTTACTGGCTTGATGAATAAGTGAAAATGATGTGATTCATATGCTATGACATCTCAACCCAGCAGAGATGCAGTGAGATGAGAACTAATGTTACTGACCAAATCAGAAACAAACTTTTTGCAAATCCAAATCCGTTCTCTTCAGTGCACTCATTATGATTCGGCTCATGACTGTCAAAACATTACTTAGCTAGCATGTGCTTTCTTCGACAGGACAACTGTCCCCTGCTTTACAATCCTCGCCAGTTTGACTTTGACAAGGACGTAGTTGGTGACCGCTGTGACAACTGCCCCTATGAAAACAACCCTGCTCAAATTGACACCGACCACAATGGAGAAGGGGATGCCTGCGCAGTGGACATCGATGGAGATGGTAAAATAGCTAAAAATGTAGACGACATGTTGTATTCAGTCTACTATAGTTAACTATAGCAACTATAAATTTGTCTTTTTTTCTCAGGAATTCTTAATGAGAATGATAACTGCCCCTATGTGTACAACACTGACCAGAAGGACACTGACATGGATGGTGTCGGCGACCAGTGTGACAATTGCCCTTTGCTACACAACCCTGACCAGGTAACGTATGCACACTGCAAATTATGGCTTTTTCCAATACAGTCAATAGATGTTGCATTAACATTCTGATCCTTGTATTCATCCAACAGACTGACCTAGACAATGACCTGGTTGGAGATCAGTGCGACAACAGCCAGGACATTGATGAAGATGGGCATCAGAACAATCTAGACAACTGTCCTTATGTGGCCAACTCAAACCAGGCTGACCACGATAAGGACGGCAAAGGAGACGCATGCGACTACGATGACGATAACGACGGTATACCTGATGACAAAGACAACTGCAGGCTAACACCCAACGAAGACCAGGAGGACTCTAATGGTGAGGATGGTGCATGTATTAGTCTTAAAGGCAGCAGCGTCACATCCATACAAAAAGTTGATACATGAGTGATATCAACTATTTTTAGCATGGATTTATAGCATAAATATTCAATGGTGTACTTCTTTTAGTAGCATTCTTAAGATTTATATTAACAAAAGTCTGTTAAAATTTTGAGACTACTTGCTTAAATAGTATCGCTATGCGCTCAGACTTATTTCACATTTCTTCCCTTCCCTATGCCCTCTCCCAGCTGCTTTTAGAGTTAGCGGTTACTTTCACTGCAGCAGGTGTGAAATTTGGTGGTTGTGGAAAGAGTCAGTGACCGGCTTGGCACGGATGATGTCATTCTCCATGACTTCAGTGAGCTGCCTTGGAGGGCACCATCAGGCTGTGAAGTTTTTATTCCATTTAGCCTTAGCCTGTGATTAGTCCACGGTGCCCAATTTAAGCAGGGTTACCTGGAGTTTGTGCAGCTGTCTATAACTGAAAACAGACTGCAGAGGAGAAAGCCCCTGATGCTTTCACACCCTTTGCAGTTTGTCAAATAGTGTTTATTTGATAGAATCGTTTGAGCTTCTTGCTCAATAACAAAGATGATGACAGAAGACGGCAAGCTACTTCCATGCAGTGGCCCTCATTAGCCACTGGCATCCTTTCCCTCATGAGTTCCCAGCCTGCAGCCTGGCTCTAGACTTCAGGCTTCAGATACTAAGACGTTTCAGTGGAAGTTGTCACAGCATGAGAAGATGGCTGATTTGCTTCATCAGACTTGGCAGTGGTACTTGGGACAGTTTTCTGGGAAGAACTGCTATACTTCCATTCATTTTTAATATTTAGTTGGAGGAACTCCTCAACAGTCACTGCAGTGGGAGTGTTATGATCCTCGCATTAGCTGCCGTAGATATTTTTCCAACCTATTCAATAGTTTGTTTCAGATCTGATTTAAATTAGGTGAAACATTTTAAAATGATTTTAATATAATTTTATATTCTTCTGCTTTATTAGGTGATGGAAGAGGGGATGCATGCAAAGATGACTTTGACAACGACAGTATCCCAGATATCCTCGATGTGTGTCCTGAGAACAATGCCATCAGTGTGACAGACTTCAGAAAATTCCAGATGGTGCATCTGGATCCTAAAGGAACCACACAAATTGATCCCAACTGGGTGGTCAGACATCAGGGCAAGGAGTTAGTTCAGACTGCTAACTCTGACCCAGGCCTTGCAGTAGGTGAGCAGCGCACATATGTTTCCCTTTGCCTTTTAAAATATTTGAAACTCCATTCAAGTGTGCAGAGCTCTGTGAGTCTAACACTTGCTCACCTCATCACAGGTTTTGATGAGTTCAGCGCTGTGGACTTCAGTGGAACGATGTACGTGAACACCGACAGAGATGACGACTATGCAGGCTTTGTTTTTGGTTACCAGTCGAGTGGGCGCTTTTACGTTGTGATGTGGAAGCAGATCACACAGACCTATTGGGAGGACAAACCATCCAAGGCGTTTGGCATCTCTGGGGTTTCACTCAAAGTTGTGAACTCGACCACTGGCACTGGAGAATACCTCAGGAATGCTTTGTGGCACACGGGCAACACTCCAGGACAGGTGGGCTGCAATCTAAATGCAAAGTGGTGTGTTACAATGCCTGTATCAGTATTGATTTTAGTGTTGTTAACTATTTTACAAAAGGTGCGGACCCTGTGGCATGACCCCAAAAACATTGGTTGGAAGGATTACACAGCTTACAGGTGGCATCTCATCCACAGACCAAAGACTGGGTTTATAAGGTATGAAGTACAGATGATCACAACAGGAAAGCCCATGTTTTTCTGTCTCTGATTACAGGCCTCTTTTAAGTCTCTTGATGACATGCAGCTTTTTAGTCTCAAGACATTAAAACATGGAAGTTTTTCTTGTGTTTTCCAGGGTAGTGGTCTATGAAGGCAAACAGATTATGGCTGACTCGGGACCAATTTATGATAAGACCTTTGCCGGAGGAAGATTAGGCTTGTTTGTCTTCTCACAAGAGCTGGTGTTCTTCTCTGACCTCAAGTATGAGTGCAGAGGTAAGCACAATTACTTAAAATTATAACCACAAATGTTTCTGTTTTGTTATAAATTACCCATGGATATGTGTGAGCAACTCAAGTGTTGCATAAAGCTGAAATCAGTTCATCAAGAATGCTAGTTGAGTGAAAATAGCAGCTACTGTATATTGATATTAAGAGTGGAAAGCAAGGGTGCCAGAAGTGGGGCCCTTCCCCATTTCACTGTAAATAATTACATAAACTAAAGTAAGCAAACATTAAATGGAGAAAATTTGTAATATTTTAAGTTTGTTTTAAACAAATTAAGCTAAGCTAACTGAATTTGTTTATTAGATTTATTTATTAGCTCACAACTCTATCGAAAGTTTATGCCACAGCTGCCCTAAATTAACAATACTGGTTATTACCCAAATCACTTTTTCAATATATTGGTAATCCACCAGTACGCACAAGCTTTTTAATCGAATTTATATTTTTAAAGCCAAAATATAATTATTGTTTTTTGTTCGTGAAGTTTTACATTTTCTTTCTTTTTTTTTTTTTTTTTACAAAAAAGAAAAAAATAGTAAAGCACTTTATTATTTTTTGATTAAGATCACAAATATGACTATTATTTGGTGGCTGATTTAAGTCCAAGTCTAAAAACATGAGTTTGTTATTTACCTAATGAAAAACAATATAATTTTTATTTTTAAAAAAGTTATTTACAAATTTTGAAATTTGCGCTCAGTGTAATAAATTTGCTAAACATTGCACAAGAGTGGACAGCTATGTGCTCCATTGTTATTTGCCAATGACAATGTGTTATTTGACAGTCCTAGGATGCCACTGATTTTAAGCTTTAATGTGTTCTGTCCCTAAAACGTATTTAATCAATCATGTTAAATTGTAGAAATTTTGTATTAATAACATTGGCTTAGGTGTTAAACACCAATGCCTACATAAAAATTGCATAGTTTATTATAGCAGTGTGGTCATTTGAATAACATTAATGCAACTGAAGACTCTTTCAACCAACCACATCTTGTTTCAAACCTCAGATAAGCTGGAGTTGCCAACCGTGCTCACAAGGTAATGGTTAGAGGGTTTCTGTGCTGTTGTTTGCTGTCACGCTATATTTCTGCTTGCCACCCTGCCCATGAACAATGCCCCAGAAGCATTGTGAAAATCCTTGTGTGTTCATCCAAGGACTTCAGATCTTCTACTTAGCGCTAAACTGTGGAAAATGAGTCTGCAGCTTTTTTTTTCTCTCACAATCACGGCCACATTTACTGGAGACACGCTTTTTTGACGCACACAATGCTAATGTTGTTGCTGCACTCTGGCACTTTGACTCAGGGGCTCATTGAGTTTTAATTGTAAATGTGGCAGTAATGGAAGATATTTTTCCATCTTTCTACAGATAACTGAATCAAGTAGAAACAGAAAAAAAGAAAACATCTGATGGCAAAAGACAAGAATCTCTCTGAGTAAACATCACGTCATCGCTGAATCCATGTCAATGTAAATCAGACTTCGCATACTTCCATGTTTTCCCCTTGATTCATCCACTGGAGGAGAAACAGTGGCACATTTCAGTTTTGCCGAAGCTGAGAAAGGAAAAAAAAACTGATCAACATGTGTTTTTTTTTGTTTATTTGTTTTTAAAAAAGCCTCTACCGAATATCTAATTAAAACTATTGTACCCATTCTACATCTTTAAATTCATTGTACAACCTCTTAGATGCTGTTTGTGATTTCCTACAGTTTGATGTAAGTGACTCGGCTGTTCTCTGCCTTTATTCTTCTTTTTTTTTGCTGAACTGATCATACAGTGTTTGACAAACATAAACTGTAATCAAATCATAATCATTTACCCGCCTTAACTCCATTATAGCTTCTCCTTATTCTTTTCATCCTAAATGTGCTTTTCATGTACAACTTGAGTGAACGACGAGTAAGTGCCAAAGATGTTTATACTAAGTCTGTACTATAATTCCTTTTGTAAATTATTTATGCTCTGCTTGTTTTGTTCGTTGGCATTTTTTTTCCTAGTTTTGTAAATAATTATTTATTTGTTTACACTGACAAAACGTATAATTGAATACCACAGACGTCAAGATAAAACATATTAGCGTTGCCAGATTTTTTTAGTGTCTTCATGCACTTCCTGTACTTGTTAGTTTTTCAAATTTGTCAGTCATTGATTTTTTTTTCAAGTGTGTCAGTTAAGTAACTGTAGCATAAAGATAAACACCAGCTGCTTTTCAATAATCATGAAAATAAACACGAAGCAGATGTTTATGTAGGTCACGGTAGCTGCCAAAGTGAGTTAATTCTGGTAGTTTATTTACTTAGCTGTCCAGACAGCCTCGCTGTCCTCAAATGGATTTAACACATTACTGCAAATTTTTTATCTTTTAAATTAGCAGCTGCCAATTAGGCTACTGGCACCATCGCAGAAACGCCTTTCTGACTCGATTTGGAAACTTTTATGCGCAACACAAAGCAGCGAAAGTAGACTGAAATAGTGACATTGCTCAAAAATATTGTAATGAAATGATTGATATTAAATCAAATGTGTAACTTTAACATTTGAGAGTTGGAGATTTGGAAATAAGCCACTTTGAGCGGTTGATTCGTGGAGATCAACTACAGTGAAAAAAACGACATTTTCATTTCTACGTTAGTCATAAATATCACTTATACATCTTGTGAAACATCAAAGTGTTGATTGAAAAGGAATCCAGATGAAGGTCTCTAAAAGTGTGACTGTGTGATTGTGTAGTGTGGATTAAGGATGTGTTTGCGTACAACTTCGCTGTCGTCAGTCTGAACAGCATTCATGTTCTCCATGTTTGGTTTCCATCCTGTTCATTTTTTTTATTTGCAATGCACAAACTGTAAATGTGTTTTTTTTGTATACTTGTGTTGTTAGATATACGTTTTCTACAAACAATAGTGTAAGATTGTTCTGTTTCTTAATAAAACACTTTTACACCATGTTGTTTATTATGACAATTGACAGGATTAGAAATACTGTCATAGCTGGGCATTGTTGTGAGGAATTGTGCATTTCTTGGAAATTATTTTTGTGCAACAGAATAAGATGTTTGTTGCTCTAGTGGAAACTCATGGCAGCAGGTGTTTGTGACATTGCCGATGCCCGTGTGTGTGTTAATGAAGAAACATATTACCCAGTACAACAGTGTGGTTTATTCATGTGGTTTTGAAGCATACAAAAAAAAAATATCAGGATCAGAAAGAAATACATCTGGAAGCTGGCCAAGCAGGGCACAGTTGTCATGCCAACTCGTTTTGACCATGTATCTATAAGTGTAGTTAGGAAAGAACTTTTTCTTCCTATTGCAAGAAGTCTAAGCAAAAAACAGTTTATAAAGCTGTATTAGGGTCGTGGGGAGAGGACGACCCCAATGTAGTAAATGGAGGCAGATGAAATAATGAAAAGTGAGCCTTGCTCTTCCAAAAGGAAAAAACAAACAGGAATCCAGAAAAACAAACCGTCAAAGTAAAACTGGAACACACTGAAACATGAGAACTAACACTAAACATAAAGAAACTAAAAGTCAAAGTGACACAACAAAACCAACAGAATACCAGGACCACAACAAGACCCTGTGGGAGAGATGTGTTGAGTTTTTTTCTCCAGAACTGTATTTTTAGTTTTAATGAAGTAAAAATAAAGAATAAAATAAACAACAACAACAACAACAACAATAAAATAACATACAAGATTGTAATTATAATATAATATAATAATAATAACATGTAATAATAATAGCAATAAATAAATAATAAAAATAATTCAAATTGATTTTTCTTTCGTTCTATTTTTATTTCTAAATAAAAATAGAAAGAAAGAAAAATCCATTTGAATTATTGTCAATTCAAATTTTTACCTGTCTCCTTTGGAATTTGTTTATGGGAAAACCTGGTACCTGGTCTATCTAATATCCTTGTATTGGTGTTGTTCTCGGATCAACATTGCATTTGACCAATCACATTGTTATGATGTCATAGCTTGGTAACTTGGGGAAAAAAAAGCCTATCGATGTCCACTCTGGAAAAAAGTGGGCGGTTAGGGTTGGAGGTTAGGATGTGATTATGGTCAGGGTTAGGGTTATGGGGCTATAGTTAGGGTTAAGGCCTTTACCTGGACAAAAATTAGTTTTGTTGATCCAGTAACAACATCAACACGATGGTATCAGCTCGAGCCTGGCTACCTGTCCAGTTTTCCGCAAAAATATATCAATCCTTGGATAGGTGTAAAACAGTGTAAATACGGTATATTTATGGCTAGTTTTAGTGTTTTCATGTAAATTACTGACAACAGGAAAAATAAAACACATCACCAGATTTATTAACTCACATAAGACATAATTTTGAAGTCTATTGTTTTGTTCATCTCACCACTAAATTATTTGTAAGAAAAAAAACAGGCCTTCTGTTAGTATGTTATATTAAAGGGCCCATCACGGATACCAGAACTGTATGTTACATGTGTGGGATGGGCACTGTTTCCAACATTCATGTGCTATTTAGAGTGTCAGCTAGAAAGTATGGTCTACTGTCACTGCTTCAAATGTTTAATAGTGCTTTAAAATGAAAAGGCAAAGTCACAGACTTTGCAAACTCCTTTGGTTAGCACGATTGAAGGGTTTTTTATGTGGTTTTGCACCAAAACTCTGTCTATCGGTGCAGAAACCAGGAAGGGAAGGGGTTAAGTAAATGATGGTGAGGCCAGGAAAGAAATGCGCTATTAGGGAAAATAGGGAAGTCAAAACCTTGCTCTTGTAGCTCTGTGTCAGAGGTATTTGGGTTGAGGTTCTTGGAATAGTCCACGTGGCACACACCAAACACTGCTATATGGGTCTGGCACTGGTGGCTGGTTTCAAGTCCAGAGCACGTTCCAGGGTGGTTCTTAAAGCTTTGCCAGAGGATGTCAATGTGTGACACAGTAAACCAGCAGTTTCTGCAGAGGCAAGTAGTTAGCAACCAGCAGGCATTTTAAAAGGATGAATAAATGCTAGCAATTAACTGAAAGAACATCAAGGAAAGTTCACTTTCACTGGCCATTAGGAGTCTCAAATGCTGAGCTTGTAATCCCGTCACTGCTGAGTGATTTAGACATTGGACAGTTTGGTGTTGATGTGTATTTATAATTGATGTGTTGGTGTGCAGCTCATCACCAGATCACCAGTTTTAACAGTAAGAGGGAGAGAAGCTTCTTATTCAAACACAGGATGAAAAGAAGAACTCTTCTCTGCGTGTGATGCTCCACTTCAGTCACTTTGGTGTTAAATACCACCCTGTCTGATGCTTGGCTACTGCAAATATAGACAACATTCATCTCACTGAATTTTTCCATAATCTGCTGGCTCTACTTGCCTCCCACTCTCAGTGAGACTGGCCTGGAAACTTACGGCAATTTAAGAAATTAGAACACAATCATGTCTAAGTCAAACAGAGAACTCATAGATAACATTCACTGCTGACAGATAGAAATATTCTCTTTTCTTTTCTTCAAAGACCTGTCTCAGTCTGTTAGTAAGATTACACAAAAATATCATGAACCATGGCAGAGCAAAGGAGCATTACTTTTCTGACACATGTCTGGATCCCTTTCTTTA